AAAGCTTTTCATTAGCGTAATGATTGAGAGATGTCAAAGTCGTAGTGGAGCACATCGTCCTATTTATGGCGCTGCCATGGAATGGAGTGGTTTTTTCAACTTCATCAAAACTCATGTCTCATTGGTTTTGTTTTCCACTGAGAGTAAAATCGGAGCCGGGTGACATGCTAGTGACTGAAACTGGAGTTGTGCTGAAATGCGAAATGGCAATAACTGCCCATCTCTCATTGGTAGTTGCAAACAATAGTGAAGATATTTTTCTCCATATCCATACTGAAGGTCAACATCTGATAGGCGAATATTTCATTTCTCAACTGGACAATGTAGACCTAACATTCATATTGATTTCATGGAACACAGTAAGATGAGCATTATTCGATGAATCAATGTCTTTTATTTCAATTTTCGCAGCAAAACATATTTGTTTTATAGAACATTTTTACTGTAACCTGTAAATTTAACTATATGACATTGGAAGATCTAGTTGAGCTTTACATAAAGAGTTCCATATAAAAATGGATACCAAGAGAAAAGTATGTCATTTTCTGTATGAGCAATTGTTGTAAACGGTTTTTCTTTAAAAGATCATATTGTTAGGAGACTATCTCGAAAGATCTTCATCGTAACAACGTGGTTCATTTGGAACTTTTGCTTAGTTTATTTGATTACAATTTTCAAAATAGTATATCATTGTTTCTTTTATTTTTCGACAAACATTTTCCTACGAAATGAATACGAAGCATAGTGTTAATTTATAGCAGTTACAGTTTGCTTTCAATAATTTATTTGCATATACTACGAATGTAAATACTTTTCTTGCTTGTGAACGAAAAAAAAAAGATTGATGTTCAAATTACTCATTGTTTAAGTTTTAGTAATATTTTCAATGGAAAGAAAGTTAAAACGAGTGGCGTTAGTTTCAAGCTGTCAACAATATTCAGTTGTCTATTTCACCAGTCTTAGTGTAGGTAAACTTCTATCGGACTGAAGTCGCAATAATTTATGTCAATATTGATAAATATAAGCTTAGCTGTTGTAAAGTCATGCACTTTTTATTTATTTTACCATTGTATTTAGTAAAAATGAGTATAAAAATTGATAGAAATGAATTTGAAAACTGGGTTTATTGAAAAGAAAAAGACGAAGTAAGCGTTCTGCACATATTAACTTTAATTTCAAACATTCTGAACTCTCTACTGAATACAAAAAGGCAACTTAAACACACTCTCTTGAGAAGCCTAACACTGACGATCAATAAGATTAAATCTATACCGGCTAGGTAGATTGAGTGATATTTATTATTCGAAATTCTTCTCATTAGAGCTGATGATGTCGACCCATATAAGTCTAATAGGCTACGTCCTAAATGAAACTGCTATTTTGAGGATAATAGGAAAGAAGTCTTCAAAATGAAGAGCTACTTTTCACCCTTTTCCTCGGATTATGTAGTATTGTAATAGAAACAGCCAATTGAATGAAGTGCCAGTATGTCTCTCGTAATGTAGGAGTTATTTTTAATATACAATGATTTATAGTAGACTCTCGTAGCCTCATCGGTGGTACTAACAATAAGAAACAACGAAATCCATTAGGGTTCTCGATCGTCCTCTCATTTATTCCTTCTTCATTTGATTACTCAAAGAAACGGAAAGTTACATGTTTTGAATAAAATTTGAAAAGAAATCACCAACTCTCGACTACTGATAATGGTCTCTTGTTTTTTTTGTAAAGTATATCATTTTGTACAACAATAAGGATCATTTTAATAATTAAGAATGTAAGATGACGATTCAAAACCATACACTATAAAAGCATATAAACCATGTCAGAAGTATTGGAATTTGTACTTTTACACAACATAGGCTTATAATGTGTTTTCACTTTCTATTTATACAACATTAGATATTCGAGAGAACAAAGCATACTGAAATAGTTGTACATAAATATGAATATTCTTCGTTTACAGAAATTTATTTGATTATTATTAAAACCAATATGAAAAACTAAAGCATTGCCATTTGTTGATAGTTGTGATTGAAGCCATTGATCGTTTGATACTTTCATCGTGAAAGATTCGTATAAATTCGAAAAGAAAGATTATCTTAGGCCTCATAAGATTGTATATGTTTTTATGTACATATACCTTGATCCTGCTCTGTCGATGGGATAGCCACAGTGACCTTGCGCACAACTATGTTATTCTATGTCTTATACTGAATATGATTTACAAAGCCTCGATGTGTCACTGTCATACTCAAGGGGAAAAACTTAAACAGAAGAAATGTAATCACAGAACCTCGATGACCCTATACAAAGATCATGTCTATGACCGGAGAGAAGCTCGAACACCACTGGGCGGTCGCTCCTAGCACATGGACAGAAACGCATGTCATGTAAGTCGATTGATATTCATGTATCGATATGGTTGTGATCCCTGTTCGATTACAACTATCATATCCACAGACACAATCAATCAATCATACCAACATAATTTCATGCATTTGTCGAAGTTCATGATTACGAAGAATTAAAGATTTGTTTACCATTCTTCCCTCCCAAAAAAAGGCTGCTTAAGAAATCACAAACTTTGTGATTTTACTTTTGCTGATGAAAGTGATCATTATTTTGATTTTGTCGGAATCAATACTGATCGTGGTAAAATTTGTCTCACAAAGTCAGGGAAAATGCTGAGTGAAACTAAAACTTTTACATACCTGTGTCTAAAAATAGACTGAGTGAATGAAATTGGTTTGAATCTTTCGTTGAGAAGCATGAAAAAAAATAAGTAAGTGACGAGAACAATACGAGTAATACCAATAAATAATTATTAAGTAGTTAACTGGTGCATCGATAAATGGTTGATACGATATTGGAAGGTATAATGACCATTATTAATTTTTTTTGTATAGAGTCATGGAAGAAACGACAATAGTCGAACGTGTACAAATTTTGATGTGAATTTGTTGTAGTTGTATGGGTTTTAAAAGATTCGACAATATCGATAGTGATGGCGAAATCGGTAAAGTATTGTCAAAATTTTGTTTTTCGAACGATGGTCAATTGTAATAATTGAGTCAATGACGACGAGTGTGACGATGGTGACTGTCATCGAGTAAATATTCGAGATGTCGGCAGTCGAAATATGACCCTGTGATACTGTTCTTATTTTTATTGAATCGCTTTCGGATTAAGATAGGACATTGTCAGCTAAAATAATAAAGAACTAAAAGGGTACCACAGTACAAGACTTCACTTTGAGATAGTGGTGCGAAGTGACTGTTCTCAGACCGCTACCTAGGTAACGTGTAACTATTTCCAAACCGTCACCGGGGAACAGGAACGGATCGTTACCAGATACCGGGGAAAACGGTGAACCATCCACTCGTCGTTACCAATCACACACCCAGGGTCCTCAAGTTCTACTATTGGTGCACAGGTGGAAGATTCCGGCCACCAGATCCCGTAGGATCCTATAGAAAAGATGCTGCAAAAAAAGTTACCGTATCCTACAGGAAAACACCCGAAGTCGCCGAAACAGGGTGACAGTATTCCGACCGGAGAATTTTTGCATATTTTCCGGCGACTTCTGTACAACTTTCTGTAGGAAACATGAGGAATTTGACCGTAAGTCGAGAGAAAAATTCAAAAAAATTTTCCGGTTGGAATACTACCATCCTGTTCCGACCACTTTCGGTGTTTTCCTACCGAAACCCGCTCGAACTTCTCGACTGGGGTGGATACTCTAGAATCCGCAAGTGCTACTATTGGGGGAAACCTTTCGGCCTTAAAGTACAAGTGTAGGGGAATACTCTTGGCCTACCCGGTGAAAGGATTGCAGGGTGTGGGTGTGGGTGTGGGTCCATCTCATCTTAACGGACACCCACACCCACACATTGCGTTCGGGAGCTTCTGATAAATCAATCTAAGATGGCTTATATGAGTTGGGACATGATTAGTGCTGCGTAGCTGGGCCAGTTCAACAGTGTATAGTGGTAACGTTATCAAAATATAATTAGAATTTATCGTTTCTTTTTACAAATAGATAGGTAGTAGGCAATATTGGTAGTAGTTGTCAACGAACGTTCAGTTTAAAAGCTGGGTTAAGCTTAATATAGAATTGTCAACGACCTACAAACCTTGGAACATATTGCATAATAGATAAAATAGTGTTTTTTATAAGTATCACGGCATTCTCTACGATAGATTTACAATCTACGAGCTTTCTCACATCTCATTTTGAAGTCTTGCTTATCAGATGAAGCTGCCATTCAAAAGAAATTCATTATAGTCCTTCTATAACTTCAACCAAAATTTTTCTCCGATGAACCAGTTAATATTTATGTTCTATCTACTGATAGACACCTTTCATTAATCCGAAACAGCAGCATGAACCTTAAAAAGAGAAAAAAAAGGACTCAGAAGGAAATTTACATACAAACAAGTGCTTGTAAAATTTTTCACGCATATGACAAAATATTTTCACAAAAGTTCGCGTCGAAACCTATATTGATTAGTTTCCCCAGAGAGAGATTACATGACACTACATTTTTTACATGCTACCATACATATGAAACCTGAGAAGGAAAAATAACTATATTTATCCACGGTGTTCAAATGACAACATTTTTTTTTTCGAAATAAATCTAGTATTGTTGCCTGATTGTGAATCTTTTATAGTGTTATTAAATAATTCTGAAATAATTAAATCGAATAAAACATCGTAGTTTTCAATATCGAAAGAAACAAACGTTTTTTAAATGAAGATATACTGATTTGAACTTCTGGAATTCAGTAAAATTAAGATCTTACTTGAGACAACACGAGAAAATATCAAATTGAACTTTATCTGTTAATACCGGTACATTACTTTAAACTTCTTATATTTATTTCCTAAGTCAAATAAAAGAGTCAACATATAATCAACTTGAATTCTCTTGTTTATTGAAAAATAATTATTAATTCTATAGAAGAAAAAAAAAATAACCCAAACAATTCGATCTCTAGCACCACAAATACATATCACGATTTACAAATTTAATCAAATAATCATTAAGTAGATTTCTTTCTTCAAGTATTACAGTTAATCGCTTTAAATGCATTACAGATATGTCAAAAACACATAAAAAAAACAAATAATGTGTCTTAGAGGATCTGTTTAATAATACATGTTCAACTATTGGTTCAATTTCTTTGCTTTTCATTCCAATATTTAAATAATTCAATTGATGAAATAAATCAACAATCAATTGAATATCTTCTAATGTACATTCATGACGAAGTTCGAAAGTTTTAATTCTATTTGTATGTAATACATGTAGAAAAGTATCAGTTTCTCTAATTGCACTTGGATCAATATTATCAAGAGATAAAAAATCACTTTTAAATGTATGTAAATGTGGTGTCAAATATAATACATCAAGAAATTGATCAAATTTAATATGAACATGTTTAATAATTAATTTGGTAAGTTGACGTACGGGAACAATACTATTTAGTGTTTGTACCAATAAACCATCACGTTTTTCAAGACAATGTTTAATTGTTAATTCCGTAGCATTTGGAAAATAATTGGCTGGATTCTTATTTGTTTTTGTACTACAAATATATACATGTTTAACTGAATTTAAATTTGTTTCTTGAGCAGATTGACAAATTTGTTTATCTAATTGCCAATAAAATGTAAAATCTTTTCGTCTAGAAAAAAAAATCAAGGTAATGCTAATTCATTTCTACAGATTACCAGAACTTTGTCAATAAGATTTTCACTAATCAGATCCTCGCCAGCTAGAAATGTGACATCTCTATATCATCTAATGGAGTTGGCTATATTGTTTCGCTCTTTTTAAATTAGTTGATGTTACTAAAAATTTCAATTTATCTTACACATTAGATTTATGACACCTCTATTTTAGGCTACATAAACTAAAATGCAATTACACAGTGGAATAAATAAATTTTTTCATTCAGTTCTCCTAAAAATCTTGGTTTGAATTCAAATATTCTATTACAATGTTTAAATATATTTAAGATTATGTGCAAAATATCAGATGTCCAAGTCTTGTTCTTTACTATATTCTGCCATTTCATTTATGCTAATTGCAATGACTTCCCATATAATACGAATATAATCGTATGAAAAATGGCATGTTTTATAAACATAGAAGAAATGATAGAATAAAGCAAAGGAGAAGACTTGGAAGCCTAAACTTTTGCATATAATCCTAAATCTGTTTAAGCATTATAACAGAATACTTGAACTCAAACTGTGGCTTTTAGAAGAACTGGGCGAAAAAAGTTTTCTAGCTCCCCATGTATAAATACCCTAGTGGTAGCAAAACCACCCAGGGTTAAGCATTCCAGCTCACTTGAAAACAGCTGCTTATGAAAAGAAGTTGATCGGTGAAATCCGTATTTATAGAAGCGAGCTAGTCATAATTAGTTAAAATCAGCTCTTCCAACTCAATAAACTGTGAGCTGTCATACATTTATTGTCAATTCACTCGTTGGAAATTCCTCAATTGACAAAATTTAGGTGGACTCTCGTTAACGCTTGTCTAGATGTACACCAACTGGTCAATCTTTGCTAAAGATTTGCCAATATTAGCAAAAATCCACCGAGCTTTTATTGCTTTGAGAGTAATTTAAAATTGACTAAAGAGTTTTGTATTAACTGCACCTATATTGTTCTTTGAGAATTTGCGGAAATCTGCTAAGATTCAATTAATAATGGTGAAAGTCTAGAAGACTCTTTCTAGAGACCTGCAGGGCATAACATTTTCGTAGCCTGGAATCTGTCCTGTGACTCTCATAATTTTATCCTGACAATGTAGGACATGTTAGTGATATCCTGTAGATCTTTAACTCTTGCCAACTCATTGATGAAATTCTTACTGACGAAGAGCAGAAACTTTTTTTTACCTATATGGTTCAGTTGAATAAAAAACTCCACTGTGTAACCGTTCAAGCCAATTATGTTGATGTGCAAAAAACCAATTTCGTTCAATCCAAAAGGATGATCTAAATTGATTAATTAAATCATGATAGGTTGATTGATTACGTTGTACACCACCATCATGAAGTATATCAAAAATACGTAAATTCGGCATATAAGATGTTATTAAATGTTCCCATCGTTTTGCATCTAAATATGCTGTATCATATTGTGTTGAAATCCGTAAAACTTCAATATCACCAAAAAATGTTTGTACAATTTGTTCGAATTTATTAAATGCAATTAAATAAAGTTTAAGTGAAACATATTTTAAATGTTTTAATAATGAAGTAGCATGGGTTTCACTATTTTCGACACGAGAAGCAGTAAGGTAATTAATTGATAAATGATGAAGTTTTGGAAAGTGATATAATAAATTATTCAATGAATCATTTGGAAAAGGACCATTAACCCTTTCAATCCCGCATGGCATCTACGAGATGACATGCAGAACGAAAAAGAAATATTTTGCGTTTTTTCATCTTCTTAGACGACGAATATCATATGATATGTTCAAATGAAAATCACTTCGTATGGATACGAATAATGAATCTAGAATTCGAAAACATATGATTATGATAGTTGAACGCAAAAGAGAGAGATTAAACTGTCTTTTTTCATGTTCGTGCAGAACGCAAGAAAATGACGGGATTTATAGGGTTAATAATAAGAGTTTCAATTGGACTACAATGAAATCTACTAAAATAAACACCTGATAAATCCTGATCAATTCTGATTCGATATGTAATTTTGCCATATTTTAATTTTGGTAAACGAAATATATTAGAAAAAATATAATTTAAATTTTGCACATATTCAGCAAGATTAAGTACTAATGAATGTA